AAAAAAAAAAAAAAAAAAAAAAAGTTCCCGTAGGTTAGTCACTTAACAAAAACTAACAATGTGAAATTAAACACAAGATAAATCAATGTAAAGTCCTGAATTCTGGTTTTAAAAGATTAAATGTATTTGCCCATTACCTTAACAGATCATCTGGAAAAAAATCTAGGGGTTTTACTGGATAGAGAGAATAATAAAAGCTTATGTTGTTACTTAGCCTGCGTTTATAGCAGTTTGGGCTGGGGTTATGTTAATAAAAGCAAAGTGTCCAGAATAAAGAAGATGATACTTCTTCTCTAGTTTGGTCGGACTATATCTCATATCTTTCATTTCACATCTGGGCAGCACATTTAAAATTGTCATTTTAAAACTTAAATTTGTTTAGAAGAAATGTGTTAAATGATGATGTCTGTTAAAATGGAATATCAAATGAGGAAGAATAGAAGGGATTGTGTTTGTTTTAAATGGGAAATAGAAGCATTGATGGAAAGGGAAGGTATTTCAGATATGCGAAGGACTGCCATAGGGAGAAAGGAGTAGGTTTATTTTTTGTTCTCACAAAAGGATTAAGGTCATTGAGTGGAAGTCATGGAGGAATGGAATTCAACTCAACATATTCAATATAAGGAAGAACTCTGTAAACTAGAATGGGCTACTGCAAGTAGCAGTAATCTCCCTTTCACTTAAAGTGTTCTGGAAGAGGCTAGGTCACCATCTGTCAGGGATGTTACTGAATTTTGTCTTAATTATCTTGAGCTGCTATAACAAATATACCATAGACTGGGTGGCTTAAACAACAGAAATATAGTTCTGGAGGCTGGAAAGTCCAAGATCAGGATGACTGCAGTTCTTTTTCTTTCTTTTTTTCTTTTTTAAGAGATGGGGTTTCGTCATGTTGCCTAGGCTGGTCTCAACCTCCTGAACTCAGGCAATATGCCAACCTTGGCCTCCCAAAGTGCTGGGATTACAGACATGAGCCACTGTGCCCAGACGAGGTGCCTGTACTTCTAATGTCTGGTGAGGGCCTGCTTCTGGGGTGGCAGATGGCTGTCTTCTTGTATTTTCACATGGCCACGAGCAGAGACAGATGACAGCCAGCTCTTTTGTTTCTTCCTATAAGGGCACAAATCCCATTCATGACAGCTCCACTCTCCCTACTTAACTACCTCCCCAATTCCCCACCTCCTAATTCCATCACATTGGGGCTAGGATTTCAACATATGAATTCTGAGGGCATACAAAGATTCAGTCCATAACTGATTTATTTCTACATTGAATGAAGTTGAATCTGGTGAAGCTTCTTTATTTTATTTGAATATAGGAACATACTTTGCATGCAATACATATGTTCCATATCCAACAAGCAGCATTTACCTAACCTGTGAGCTCTTTACTTCCAGTCCTAAATCAAGAGACTTCAGCTATTAATTCTGATGCTAACAAGTCCAAAGTTACTTTAAAGATTATATTATTTTTCAGTAAAGATATACAAATTCAAATTTATTTTGCTTCTCAGATTAGAGTCAGTTTTATCCTAAGGATAAGTCTTTCCTTGCTGCTTTTTGATTTGAAAAGCTAAGACAGATTTTGGTTTTCAAGTGAATAATTTTTAAATGAAAACCACCCTCAGTTAAGAGAATCTCTCCTCTCTCTCTTAATTGCAAATACTGCCATTCTCAAGGGACAATAGCTGATTTGATCATGTTCATGAGTTTATGCATTTTCTTTGACAGGATGGACGGGCGGCATCATCAATTCTGGTTGGTGCTATGTTCATTTTCTGTAATCTTTACTCTACTCCTGGCCCAGCCATTCGATTGCTATATGCAAAGCGACCAGGAATTGGACTTTCACCATCCCACAGAAGGTAAAGTAAGCTAGATGCAAGGTAGACATAGATGTGATCTAATTGGTATCATGCACTATTTGAAATCTGGCTTATAAATCCTTTTGCAAGTTTATTTTACTTTATCTCTGTGTTAGTCCATTTCCATATTGTTATGAAGAAATACCTGAGACTGGGTAATTTATAAAGAAAAAGAGGTTTAATGGATTCACAGTTCCATGTGGCTGGGGATGCCTCAAAATCATGGCCAAAGGTGAAGGAGGAGCGAAGGCATGTCTTACATGGTGGCAGGCAAGAGAGTGTGTGCAGAGGAACCACCCTTTATAAAACCATCAGATTTCGTGAGACTTATTCTGTATCATGAGAACAGCATGGGTAAAACCCACCCCCCATGATTCAATTACCTCCTACCATGTCCCTGCCACAACATGTGGGGATTATGGGAGCTACAATTTAAGATGAGATTTGGGTGGGGACGCAGCAAAACCACATCAATCTGGCATTGTCCTGAACTACAGAAAAACAGAATTAGATTAGGATATTAGATTGTCATTCAGCTTGTAAGCCCCCATATGAAAATATATGATTCTAAAATTAGAAGCAAACTTTAAAGAATACTTATGTCCAACTTCCCTCATTTTACAGGTAAGGAAACTGGGACTCAAGACAGGTTGTGATTTGCCTTAGGTCTAATACCCAATGGACATAGCCAGACAACGTTCCTGATCCAGAGCTGTAATACCAGTCCCTTTTTGTTTTATTATACAGGTCTTTATTGAAAAACAGCAGTAGCTGGTTATACTTATCACTAGTGATTCTCCTGTGGGGAACATGCTTAATAAAGGGAAATGCAAAAATACATAGGGAATAAAGAGTTTTATAATTCATTTTTTCTTATGACTCTGACATAGAAATAAAATAGATTACAAAAGATAATCTGAAAAATGATTAAAAAAGAAAACCCTTTTTGGATACCATTCATTTTTCTTTCTTTTAATCACCATTTCTTCATTTTAAAAAAAAAACTGCATCTCCTTAAGTTTTTGGATTAAAAGTGCTTCTGATGATAAAATTCTAAAATTTATCCAAAGCCAAATTTTAGCTGATAAATTGGATCTGCTAGATAAAATAGGAACATATGTTCAAATATTGAAATACTATAAAACTCCCATAAGCTTTTTGATTTAACAAATGCCTCATTATCAGCTCATTGGGAAAGTACAACAATCTCAGTAGATAAAATCTTTCCTAAATTACTGGTTGCATTATCTTTTGCTAGTTAATGTTTAAGAAATTAACAGAATAAGTTTTTATCGTAATAATAATTTGCAAGAAGAAACCTGATAGCGAAGATTGCTTGCTTCTTCTGGTTTGATGGGCCCCAACAAAGTGCCAATCTCCTGTTTCAGATACCTGGGCTATATGTGTGACCTACTAGCAGATAAGCCCTACCGCCCTCACTTCAAGCCTCTCACAATTAAGTCAATCACTGTCAGTCCAATACCCTTTTTCAACAAACAGAGGAATGGATGTCGCCCTTACTGTGATGTACTCATTGGAGAAACCAAAATATATTCAACTTGCACAGATTTTGAACGAATGAAGTAAGTCATGTTACTTTACTTCTTCCTGTGTACTTCTCAATTCTTGTGTAAATGAGCAGGAATTAGTTGAATCATATTCTTCCTGCAATACTATATCATTGTGAAATAGCTGATATATAAAAAATGTTCAATGTCAGTGGTAAGCGTAGAAAAGTACAAGTAAATCAAGGGATGCCATGGCCCTTTTTCAAATAAAACGGTGATGGTGATATAGGCTAAGGGACTAGTATGAGCTATATAGAGGATTAAGACAGTGAAGGGGAACACAGGACACCTGGTCATTGAAGAAGGAGATGCCCTTGATGGGATTAGGTAAGGGTAATGATGAATGAGGTTTCTAAGTGAGCAACTAGGTAGATGGCGATTCAATTAAAGAAGTTATATAATCCATAATAAAGAGCAGGTGCCACTGGGTGGTCATAGGGGATGTGGAGAGAAGGAAGTGGGTGGTAACATGAAATTAGTTTGGAATAGATTGAATTTGAGGATTGGCATCCAAGACTTTTGCAGAGCATGACATTTCTGTTTGTATCCTGATTGCCAATGGATTATTTGTTCCCTTTATATCTGCTTTTACAGATATTAATTTAAAGTGAAGAAAAGGCAGATACACTGGGGCTAGATGCATTTGAGGAAAATGAGATCTGCAAAGCAGGCATGGGCAGTTGCAGTCCAGATGGGATGGAGAGAGGGGGCCTGGCATCAGACCAGCATCATTCCACTGCACAACTAGTTGGCACTGGCTGCAGTCCTGTTTTTACTCAAGATAGGAAATAGTTTCTGGGTCCAGGCCTGGGCAAACAGGCCCCTGGGCCAGAGCCACAGAAGACTATACCTGTGTCTGTGTGATTATACCAGATTGGACTCTCTTTCAATGTATATTTTTGTCTATGTTTAAAGAGAATATCGTGTCCAAGATGGGAAAATCTTCATTCCCTTGAACATCACTGTGCAAGGAGACGTGGTCGTTTCCATGTATCACTTGAGGTCAACCATTGGGAGCCGGCTGCAGGCTAAGGTACGGTTTTAGGAAGAATCATGGCATAAACTCATCTGAGTCTTCAATAGGAGTATTTCTGAATCTTTTCTACACATCACTTTGGGCTTGAGTGACTTGTGGTTTTAGAATGAGAAAGAACCTTTAAAGATTACTTAGCTCATCTCCTTCATCTTACAGGGGAAGAATGGAGACTCAGAGAGGCTCTGACTTCCCAAAGTCCTTGGCATGATGTCTGTGCCAGAGGGTGGCATCCCCGGAACTCTTAGCAAATCATGCTGTTTAGAAGCCTGTGCTTTCCTTATAGTGCCCCATTTGGATCAGTGTAAGGGAAGAGATTTCTACTGAGGATGTAGAATTAAGGGATTGTATTTTTTCAATTTTTAAAAATTGAGATGAACCCACATAACATAAATATCACCTTTTATTTTTTTCATTTTATTATTTGAGATGGAGTCTTGCTCTGTCACCCAGAAGTCACTCTTTTAAAGTATACAATGCAGTTGTTTTTAGTATATTCAAAAGGTTGTGCAAAGATCACCACTATCTAATTCTAGAACATTTTCATCATCCACAAAACATACCCTGTACCTACTAGCAGGCACTGCCTATTCCCTCCCCTCGATCTCCTGGCAACCACTGATCTACTTTCTGTCTCTATGGGTTTGTCTATTTGGGACATTTTATATAATGGAATCATACAATATGTGGCCTTCTGTGGCTTACTTCTCTCACTTAGCATAATGTTTTTGAAGCTCATCATGTTACAGCATGTGTCAGTACTTCATTATTTTATATGGCCAAATATTATTCCATTGTAATGTCACAATTTATTAAACTCTTCATTAGTTAGTGAACATTTGGGATATTGCTGTTTTTTGGCTATTAGAAATAATGTTTCAAGTAACTGTGTTTTGATTCATTACATATTGACTGAGTGCTTTGTGCCAGCCATTGCTGAGGTTTTTAGGATTGACAAGAGTAAGACTATATCTCTGCCTTTAAAGGGAATCACTTTTTCAAGGGAAATCCATACAAGTGCAAATATACATGATACCATATTAGAGGGACTATGAGGTGTTATAATGGGAGCAGTTTGTTTTAGCCAGCAGTGGCCTAGAAAGGCTACAGAGACAATACAAACTTTTAAGACAGGCCATGAAGGATGAGTTCATTGGGTTGGAACTGGGCAACCTGGGTAGAAGGAATGGAGTAAGTCAAAATATTCCTGTGTGCAAGAACATAGTACTTAGCAGATGAGAAAATGGTTTGCCAAGGCAGAGTTCAAAGAAAGGAGAGGCTGGAAATGAAGCCGAGTCTATTCTAAGTGGGGAGGTCATTTAATATCTGTAGTAAACACAAATTCAGATATTGAAACAGTCAAAGGTACATGGCTCCCCAAAAATCGAATCTTTTGATCAGATTCCCTTTACACTGATTGATTGGAATGTGCTTTGCTCATGTATTTTTAGGTGACCAACACACAGATATTCCAGCTTCAGTTTCACACTGGATTCATACCACTGGACACAACAGTTTTAAAGTTCACCAAGTAAGTACTGCTTGGGCCAAAGGTCTGTTTGTTTGTTTTTTGAGATGGAGTTTCGCTCTTGTTGCCTAGTCTGGAGTGCAATGACACGATCTTGGCTCACCACAATGTCTACCTCCCAGGTTCAAGTGATTCTCCAGACTCAGCCTCCCGAGTAGCTGGGATTACAGGCATGCCCAGCTAATTTTGTATATTTAGTAGAGATGGGGTTTCTCCATGTTGGTCAGGCTGGTCTTGAACTCCTGACCTCAGGTAATCCACCTGTCTCAGCTTTCCAAAATGCTGAGATTACAGGTGTGAGCCTCTGTGCCCGGCCCCAAAACTCTGTTTGAATCAGAGTAGCTATGAAGTGCAGAGGCTCAGTAGCACTAGGCTGTAGCATCCCCTGGAATCCTGTGCTGCTAGACCACTGAGTGTTGCTCTGTAGCACAAAGAGGCTGCGGGCATTCTAAAGCTTTCAGTTGGGTATGATTTCTCTTCAGAAGTACAAAGGGATCAAAGACTTCAAATAGAAAGGTCTAAAATTCTATGTGAGGGAATAAAGGTAAACAAAGTGGGACAAAGTATCATTATTTTTGATCCTTTGCATCCGTGTATCCCCTTGTGTTTTCCAGTGGGGATGGCAGTTTAATCAGTGGTATGGCATCAGCAATGACACATCAGAATAGATGCCCTGCCATAGCACTAGAGCAGGCTTCTGGAGGACCTGTCTGCACTGACACGAAACTATCTCATAGTGTGGTCTAGGTGAACTCAGGTGTGGAGGTGGCTAAAGCCAGAGTGGAATTGCTGGGGACAGGATAGGACATTCAAGGTCTCAGGACAGTGGCTGTGGGCTTATTGTACTATTTTAATAATGGATTTTGCCGCGCCAGTGAATACTGGCCAGTCATATCAGCCCTGCTTTCCAGAATGCTTTTACATGCAGTAGCATCCAGATTTGTTGAGCAGGCATTATTCTTCCCTTTTCTCTAGATTAGGAAACTGAAGTTCAGAAAAGTAAAGTAATTTTTCTGGTTATGATTGAGTCTTTCTTAGACATGAGTCTTAGGTTTATCCTAAGAGTCAACCACCTAAGATGACTTCTGTGCCGAACATCACACTGGTTCCATTGTTTTTCACTGATTTTATCATTTTAAATCTTTATTTAGGCCTGAGTTAGATGCATGTGATGTACCAGAAAAATATCCTCAGCTATTTCAGGTGACACTGGATGTAGAACTACAGCCCCATGACAAAGTAATAGACTTAACTCCACCATGGGAACATTACTGCACAAAAGATGTCAATCCCAGCATCCTCTTCTCTTCTCACCAGGAACATCAAGATACGCTGGCCTTAGGAGGTATGAGTCACCTGCTGGTTTTGTTTTTCAGGATGAAGCCTCTTTGTTATTATTTCCTGAGTCTCATTGATGCTGCATGGTCTTTTGTCTTGCAGGGCAGGCTCCAATAGATATCCCTCCAGACAACCCCAGGCATTACGGACAAAGCGGTTTCTTTGCCTCTCTCTGTTGGCAAGGTATACAAGTGTTTATTTAAGTTACATGGTTGAAGATTAAGTATTTCTTCTGTAAAGATGTTGGCCCTAAAAGCAGACTAAAGTAAAATAGCACTTAGAGGTCATTCAAATCAGTTACAGGGACTCCCACGTGTAAGCCCAGCACTTTGACAGGCTAACACAAGAGGATTGCTTGAGGCCAGGAGTTCAAGACCAGCCCAGGCAACAGAGCGAGATCCTATCTCTACAAAAAAATTTAAAAATTAGGTGGGAGTGGTGGCACATACCTGTAGTCCTAGCTACCTCAGAGGCTGAGGCAGGAAGACTGCTTTACCCCAGGAGTTCAAGGTTGCAGTGAGTTATGATTACACCACTGCACTGCATTCTGGGTGACAGAGCAAGACTCCATTTCTTAAAAAAAAAAACTTTTTTAATTAAAAAAGTTAAAAAAAAAAAAGACACAATTCAAGTTTACATACTTCCAATTCATTCCCTTTCAAATCAGGCAACCTCCCTACTTTCAACTCAATAGATTCTCTTAGACTGATGCGAAGGGCCATTTTAAGCTGAATTTTACCTTCTCTATCTGTGTTGTGTTTTGGGCCACATCTTTCCTGGACTGACAAATGAGTGTGATGTTTTTTATGATCTCCCTTTAGACTGCTGCCTCTGTAATGAGATACACACAGGATTCTATCTTCTGCTCTCAACTAAGTATTATAAAAATATGAAATCAGCATTTCCCCCAGGGAGCCATAACCACCAGCAGGGCAGGACTGAGCTTACCCTGCTGCAGAGAAAGCAAACACTTGGCCTATATATCTCTGCTCTTGCTTTAACAACCATACCAGAAATCGGGGCTTGATCACTGTGTTTTTTTTCTCTCAAACCTGGAGATATTTTCAGAATCCTTCTCAATATAACTCTTCCAACCATGGCCAGCAGTAGCCTGACATTGGCATCCTAATCAATACCCATTGGTCGTCCTTGCTTTAGAGCTGGCTGAGGTTAACCGTGAGATTCAGTGTAGACATGGGTAGTCAGGGATTGGGTATGAAAGGGGTTGGGAACTGGCTGTGGTGATGGTCTATCTGAAATTCTCTTGATTGACCTTCCTCTGCTGTGTGAATGTAAGACAGTATTCCCATTGCCTGCAGGTTTCAGTTTGATGGAAAAGTTGTTTATAAAATTCCTTTGAATTGAAAGACTTACTTTCAGAATTTTCTTTTGAGAAATGGAACTAGCAAACTCCTTAAATTTGGAAAACCCAGTGTTATCTGGACAGTAGGTAGATTCCTCATCCCCTATTGGTTTTTCTTACCTCTTATTTTCCTCACAGTGAGGGCTTTTAATAAAACTTCACTCCTAGCTCTCCACTGCCATTTTAGTAAATAATTTAGAGATAATTCCTCTAGGCTCTGAAATAGGTTTTAGCATAGATGCTCACTCTCTTGTCTGAACCTCTCAGAGCCAGGTATGTTTAGGAATGCAGAAGTTTTTGGATTTTAGAAGGGAGATATGGTACATAAACTGTATATAACTCAACATCCCAAGTGATATCTCAGACAATAACCTACAATCAAACATATTAATATTTTTGCAGTAGAACATATAAGTAATAACCCTAATGAGATAAATGAGGACTATAAGTATCTTCACATTCATTCCTGTCAGGTTCCACCAAATGAATTCATGTCAAACTTAGGAAAGCCTTTCCTTTTTCATAGCTTTTTGCAGTTTAGAATTGCGAATAAAGGCTGTAGATCTGTACTTGATTTGGAATGTGGGTCTATCTGGCATTAAATAACAAATTTTTGTAGGAATATCTGTCTCAGGGAGGGCTTGGAAAGTCACTCCTTCCCCAGAGGAAGCCTCTTTCCTGCTGCTCACTTTGTGCTGAAAGTACCCCTTTCAGCCTGGTATAAGGACCATTCAAAGCAGAGCCCTTCTTTTTGCTTTTTAAATGTGAGGTTCACTTCTGCTCCAGACTGTTGGAGAAAGGATTTGCTTTTGGGTACAGGACACATAGAGAAGTAAAGACAGTGAGAAGTGTCAGCAAAGGACTAGCAGGTAATGGTTTGTACCCCCCACCCCAAAGCACCTAGCATAGTGCCTGAAAAAAAAAAAAAACAACATGTAAGTACTACTTACTGTTGATTGGAGTGATTTATAACATCGTCGCATGTATTTCTCACAGTAGCCTGTGACTTAGGTACTATTTATTTATTTAGACACAGTTTTGCTCTGTAGTCCAGGCTGGAATGCAGCGGCATGATCTTGACTCACTGCAACCTCTGCCTCCCGGGTCCAAGTGATTCTTGTGCCTCAGCCTCCTGAGCAGCTGGGATTATAAGCACACGCCACCATGTGCAGCTGATTTTTGTATTATTAATAGAGACGGGGTTTCACCATGTTGGCTAAGCTGATCTCGAACTCCTGACCTTAAGTAATCCTGTCTCAACCTCCCAAAGTGCTAGGATTACAGGCGTGAGCCACCACATCTGGCCATTAAGTATAATTTATCCCCACTTTGCTAAGGAGGAAACCAAGGCACAGAGAAGTAAAGTAACTTGCCCAGTGTCACAGAGCCAGTGAGATTCAGTCCTTGGCTGTCTGGCTTCAGAGTTCCTGTTCCTTACCCCTGTTGTACCAGAGCGAGCATAGAAAATCAACACCAAGACAAAAGTATGCCAAATTGCAAGGTCTTTATTGCCGGCAGCCACGGAGGACTCACATGTCTCCGACCTGTGGCCCTGAAAGGAGGGTGTGAAGACCTTTTATGCCCGTAAACCACTTCCTGGGTAGGGGTGAGGTTGAGGGGCTTCGGAAATTCCAAGGGCCAGTGGACTTTAGACATTCTGATTGTTAAGTGGTTTACAGAAGTCAAGATAAGCGTTAGTTTATACATTGTCTGGGTAGGGTGGAAATTACAGGCCTTAGTTACTTATTACAAGTCGCAGGGGCCAAGATGGCATGGGTTTGGACTGCTTGCCTGTCATATTAAGGTTACAGAGAGCAGTTTCAACAGAAAGCTGAGGTATGGTTGAGGTATGCAGTTTACGGGGCTTTAACCATGTCACACCCCTACACCCTACTGTCTCTCAGATGCTCAACAAGTGGTAGCTAAATACATCAAGTGAAATAGATCAAGTCTTCCACTGGTAAGGGTCTGAAAGCCCTGTTTGCTCAAGGCAGAATCTTTCTTTCTGGAATTATATACTTATGTTATAACAAAACCCAACAATGGTGTGGTCAACAACTAACCTCTTAATACTGGCCTTCCTTAGATCAGAAATCAGAGAAGTCATTCTGTGAGGAGGACCACACTGCCCTAGTGAACCAGGAAAGTGAGCAATCAGACGACGAACTTCTGACCCTTTCCAGTCCGCATGGCAATGCCAATGGTGACAGGCCTCATGGAATCAAGAAGCCCAGCAAAAAGCAGCAGGAGCCAGCAGCCCCTCCACCCCCTGAGGATGTGGACCTTTTGGGCCTGGAAGGGTCTGCAGTGAGTAACAGCTTCTCCCCGCCGGCGGCTCCTCCCACCAATTCTGAACTACTGAGTGACCTGTTTGGGAGTGGAGGTGCAGCTGGTCCCACCCAGGTGGGACAGTCAGGAATGGAAGACGTGTTTCATCCTAGTGGACCTGCATCTACGCAGTCAACACCACGCCGCTCTGCCACCTCCACCTCCGCATCTCCAACCCTAAGAGTGGGAGAAGGTAATTTTTTCTGTGTTGCACTGTGCCTCTCAGATTCGAATTGCAACCTTTGGGCCAAAGAGGTGGAATTGAACTTTCCTAATAAGCTAGACTTTTTTGATTTCACTGAAAGTCCTTTAGATGTCTGTATCTTTATTTAGATAGAGAGCATAAGAGAAAATAGCGTTTTGGTAGCACACTAAGGTAGTGTAAGAGTAGATGTTTGAGCTTCACACTCTTACTTCTTATTTTCTTTGTTTAGGACCTCAATCCCTGAGCTGTATTAGTTATGTCTGCTTAAGCATATTGATTGATGAATTATTATTGAGAAACATAGCTAATATTTATGGGGTATTTACTATTTGCCAGACATGGAATTTAATACTAAACATGAATAATTCTCATAGAATCCCAATAAATAAGTGCCATTCTTATCCCCATTTTATAGTTGAGGAAGTGGAAGCATAGAGCTAAGTCGGTTTATACATTTATATGACTAGTAATTGATGAGGCCAGTATCCAAACCTAGGCCATTTGTTTCTAGAGCTTTCCCTCTGTTTTCCTATAATGCCTTCCTGAAGTTACAGTTTTCCAAATATACTTTGGCTATCCAGAGAAGGGTTTGGGTATTTGAAAATATGTTTAAGTGACTCATGCCAGAAGCACAGCTTCCTAGAACAGAGCAGTTGGTAATAGGCAAGGAGTTTGAGCTCCTTGGGGCTCTGTTGGTTTCATTGTTTCAATGCCAGAGACTCAAACCTTCTACTACAGGTCATCTAGGATTTTCTGACATTTATAAGACAGTGTAGTTGGGTAAGGAGAGATCCAGTACAGCTTCTGAAGAACCAACTTAAATCAGCTGCCCCTTGGTACTATCACCATTACCCAAGATGACTTCACATTAGGAAGGGTAAAGAGAAATGTGTCAACTCTTCAGGCCTATAGTATCCTGTAAGAACATTTTCCCCCCAAGCGTATCCTTCACAGAAGGCTCTGGGCTGGTCTTGACCTGTGGTGGTTCAGCTGGAGGCTTCCTTCATGAGTGTGGGTCTCAGAATCACAGAGTATTGGTGTTGAGACTCAAGCTCCGGCATTAGCTATTGCTGGAGCCGGGATATGAATTCAGGTGTCTTGAACCCATGCCAAGGCTGTTTCCTCTGTACTTCCTTCCATACAGTTTTATTTTTTTTTTTCGAGATGGAGTTTTGCTCTTTTTGCCCAGGCTGGAGTACAATGGCGCAATCTTGGCTCACTGCAACCTCTGCCTCCCAGGTTCAAGTGATTCTCCTGCCTCAGCCTTCTGAGTAACTGGGATTACAGGCATGTGTCACCATGCCTGGCTAATATTGTATTTTTAGTAGAGACGGGGTTTGTTGGTCAGGCTGGTCTCGAACTCTCAACCTCAGGTGATCCCCCCCACCTTGGCCACCCAAAGTGCTAGGATTACAGGTGTGAGCCACCCTGCCCAGCCCTTCCATACAGTTTTAACTTGCCAAAGAAAAAAAGCTCTGTCAGGAAAACAATTTCCAAGATAGCATAGTACTCGATGATTGCACTTTAAGACTATGCACCTGCTGTGACTCTTACAATTTCATTCATCATAGTTTCGGGTAGATAATGGCATTCCAGTGCCAGAAGGGGCCTTAGACATCAGTTAATTCTGTACCTTGTATTATAGACAATGAAATTGAGGCTTAGATATATATTGATTGACCTGTCCGAGGATATCCACTGGATTAGTGGCATACCAAGATCTAGAATGCAAATATTGTATCCCCCTAAGAGGAAGTAGAACGAACACCAAGTCTAGAGTTAAAGACCTGGATTTGAGTCCCAGGACTAATACTTGACTATCTGTGTAACATTATTGAAAAATCTTCTCAGTTGTAAAGTGGGGATAATACTTACATATTAGCATTGTTGCAAAGACTAAATTTTGAGCTCTTGTCTCGTGGTGTTAGGCAGTTTTAATTATTGGAGAATGTCTCTAGTTTAACATAAATTGGTATCTTAAATGTACTAAGCATGCTAAGAAGGGATAATGGTAGTTAACAAATAAATCCTGCTCTTAGAACCAAGGTAGGATATATGGCTTAATAAGTTTTCAGCTAAGACTTCATTGGCATAATGCTCTCCTAACATCTGCTGGGCAACAGATTAGCGTTGTGTAGCAGCGATGGTATTGACTGTGGTTCATCCAACAGATAAATCCAGACTACTCCTTTATCCACAAAGATAGGAAATTCTTGGAGTCCACTGTTAGCTCTGCAGGAAGTGACAATTCTTTGACATTTAGTGAATGAACTCACAGGACAAAAAATATATTTTACCATTGTTTTCTAGGTGCCACCTTTGACCCATTTGGAGCACCTTCCAAACCATCAGGTCAGGATTTGCTGGGTTCTTTTCTGAACACATCCGGCGCTTCCAGTGACCCCTTCCTCCAGCCCACAAGAAGTCCTTCACCCACAGTACATGGTAAGAAAGTATTTTATATTGTGTTCAGTGGAACATAGTTTTTTGCAAGATGTCAGTAAGTGCTCATATATAAAAGCACCTTTTGGGTCCTGTTTTGGTAAAAGCTTCCTCATACATCTGTGTCTTTGAAATTAACAACTCACATTAACATATTAAAAGCTCTGAGCTGTCCTCCAGGACAGAAGCCTGCTGAACTTTGTTTTGCTCTGCTTTCCTAAAACCTGTTTGACTGTGGTTTTCTTTTTTCCATTAGAGCTACGTGGACAGAATTATAAATGACCCTTGATTGTAGGACTTAATCATTATTTTATGTACCAATAAGAAAGAAAAAAACACTGCCACTATGAAATGGCTGGAAGATACATCTTGGTTAGAGAAATCTTTGAAATGGGGAAACATATGTCTTAATAAAATATATCAGTAGTCCACAAAATTGGTATTCCACAGGATAAAGTTGGGATATGATAGCCACTAGTTGTGTGTGGCTGTTGATGATTCAAAATGTGGTTAGTCTGATTTGAGTTGCACTCCAAGTATAAAATCCGTATGAGATTTCAAAACTTAGTACAAAAAAAGGCATGTAAAACATCTCATCAATATTCTTATATTGATCATTGATTAAAATAATATTTTGAACATAGTGGGTTAAATAAACTATATTATTAAAAATAATTTCAATAGTGTCTTTTTACTTTTTAAAGTGGGATTAGGAAATATAAAATTACATATGTGGCCCAAATTGTATTTCTATTTTAGAGACTTAGGTTGTATAGAAAGAATAATAATCACATCCATTTATAAGTACAAAAGTGTGTCAGGTAGGTAGCATTGGTTAAAACTGGAGCTACACTGAGGGATAAATAGCTTTGAGCCAGAGAGTTGTAGCTCATTCCTGATGTTAAAGTCTATTGAACATTATTGGCCACAACCTAGAAGGTGACATATTATTGAAGGCATCTGAGCTTGTTTGGAGAAGGCAGTCCAGTCATCAGTTGACTTTGGGAGACCATGCCAGTGCAAAAGGAGGATGACTTTTGCAACACTGGTGAAACTGAAACTTGACTAAAGAAAGAGTCCAGGAGCAACTTTTATGGTTCTTTTCCAAGTAGCCTTGAATCTCAGACTATTTGAAGTGCATCCACAGGACAACATACAAGAAATTCACCTCTCACCTGAGTCTTGCTTGCTCGAAAGAGTCTACCAATGGGATGTTGACTACCTGTGGGAGGAAAGATGCAGGAATGTAAGCTAGAGTTGGTTTTGCTCACTCATTTAAAATGTTAGGCCATGCCATTGCTCTGCTCAAAATGCCTCCCCATTTCACTCAGCGTGAAAACCAATGTCCTTGAAATGGCCTGTGTAGGCCCTATATGCTCTCACATCCCAGTGCCAGTGACCTCATTTCCTATTCTCCCCATCTTTGCTCTCTGCATTCCAGCTCTGCTGGCCTCTTTGCTGTTGCACTGGCTGTTCCCTGTCCCATACTCTTCCCCGGCATCTGCATGGCTAAGTCCTTCACCTCCTTTGAGCCTTTACTCAAATGTCACCTTCTCAACAGAGTCTACTCTGATTCCTCCATTTCAAATCGCAGCTCCACTCCCTGCCCTACTCTGCATTCACCCTTTGGCTGTACTTAGTAACTTTCAGTGTATGCAATAATTTACTTATATGTTGAATTGTTTTTGGTCATCTCTCTCTCTTCATTAGAACTTGAATTCCACAAAGGCAGAGAATTTTGTTTTGTTTACTAATGCATCCGTAGTGCCTAAAAGAATTACTGGCACATAGTAGGTGCTATCTTTCCAATGTTAAATATAAAATGAATTAACTCATTTTTTCCTATAAGAGTTTATTTGATGCACAGTGATAGTATCTATAAGACTATACGTTTTCCTGATTTTAATACTTTGAAATTATTGTTTTGATAAGAGTACTACCCTTTGTGTCCCATGGACGTGGGTGTTCATACTTGGCAGCCTGGCAGTTTTGGATCCAGTTTTCTGTTTCTGATGAGCTGATTAGAACATGATGTTTATCACCCAGTTTAGGCCAGTTAGCACTCCTTTGTTTTGTGGTTACATTTCTCATTTTGGCCTGTATTGTGCTGGTGAGTGGAAAGAATTTTCTCCTCTCCGTTTTGGGAAAGCAGTGATCATTTCAGTGTAACTGAATCAATTCACCATCTTCATATAGGATAGAGTATAGATGACACTCAGAAGTCCACTTTGTGAGGTCAGATTACTTACCTCCAAATCCTCAGGGTACTTCCCCCAGGCTTCTACAAGGCATCGACAATCGCTTGTGAAAATAATAAAAAAAAAATTACTGCCTTCGGGCTCAACAAATATTTATTGGACATCTATTTTGAAGAGAATAATTTCTTGGGACATGGTGTTAGAAGAACAAATAAATAATTATAATAGAAGGCAAAATAGAGACTAAAATACTGGGTAATTTTCCGTTATCTTTCCCTTTATCTATTTCTGTCTGTCTAACAGACCTTAAGCTTCTTGAGGATAGGCCATGCATCTTTTAGTCTCTGTTCCCTGGAGTGGTGTCTTGCATGTGGTAGGTAGTCATAGGGTTTGTGGGTTTGATTAGCAATAAGTTTGAATTTCTGATGCCCACTTTTGCATCTTAGTTGGATGTAAGACTAAGATCAGAGCTTGAAGGAAACCAGATAGAAAATATTAGCAAAAAACTGTCTAACTTCCACCTCAGTGGAATGGGTTACTGTGGAAAAACAGAAGGCAGAAATAGAAAAGAAAGAATTATTATTGCTGATAATGGCATATTCTTTTTAACTTAATGATGGGAAGGTACTATATGTCTCGGTTGGTACTAAGTAAACAAAACAACTAAATAAAATATTTGGAATGCTAATCTTCATGCCTTCTGGTGCTGATGGTGGTGTGCATGTGTGTGTGTATGTGTTTTAGATCCCAGTTGTAATGCCAGTTTAGTATTAATTAATCATTAATTTGTGTGGGCAAAACCTAGAGGTGCCTCAGAAGGGAATTCTTTCTTATGGCATCCTGTTTCCTATATAGATGTGGAAAAAACTTACTACCAACATGTACTCCTCTAGTACGCCTGATTCCTTTTAGCCAAATATTTCTTTGAAATTATATGTCTGGAACTTCGAGGCGGGTCAGAATGATTTATTTTGAAGCTGTCCTATTTTGAGCATCACAGACACATCCCCGACAGCCAGCCTAGTGATGGCATATAGCCAGTCCGTGCCCAGTCCATGTTCTGCCTGACTTATCATTCTCAATTCATGTCACAGCAGAGAAAACAAAATGTCATTCTAAGTGGATTATGCCTCTATACTTGTTCATGCTTAGCAAAGGTAAACTGAGTTTAAGGTATTTTCCTCCTCTTTTCTTTTTCTTTCTTTCTTTCTTTTTCTTTTTTTGTTTTGTTTTGTTTTGTTTTGTTTTGTTTTTGAGAAAGAGTCTCACTCTGTTGGCCAGGCTGAAGTGCAATAGCACGATCTCGGCTCACTGCAGCCTCCGTCTCCCAGGCTCAAGCAATTCGCCTGCCTCAGCCTCCTGAGTAACTGGGATTACAGGCATGTGCCACCATGCCCAGCTAATTTTTGTATTTTTGGTAGAGACAGGGTTTCACCATGTTGACCAGGCCGGTCTTGAACTCCTGACCTCAGGTAATCCACCCGCCTCAGCCTCCCAAAGTACTGGGATTACAGGCATGAGCCACCGTGTCTGGCCTCCCCCTCTTTTCTTATTGCCCACTGACTGTGTTAAGTTTAGAGGTGGGACACACACATACAATAGTTCTTTCTTGTCTTCAAGTAGGACTTACAATTGAACGGAGACAGATACATGCTCAGTTATAACTCAAAGTGTGTGGATATGGAGGTAAAACCAAAGTGAGACAAAGCAGGAGCAGAGACAGATAATATGTAGTTTCTGTCAAGCCTCATGTGAACAGCCATAGGTGAAGGCAGAACATGTGGAGTGTTGCAGAGTGTGGCGAGAACGCAGAAGCAGGAGTGGATTTCTTGAGATCTTGCGGGGGCCATGCAGGCTTCCGGGATGGAATGGCATTACCCTGTGTGAACTCAGAAAAGTGGGCTCTGGGCTCTCTTGTTCTCATTCTTTTTCTTTCTTTTTCTTCTCCCCATTTGCAGCTTCTAGTACACCTGCTGTGAACGTTCAGCCAGATGTTTCTGGAGGTTGGGACTGGCATGCTAAACCAGGTAAAGGTCAGCAGGTTATTTTCTGGACACATTTAGCTAATTGCAAAAGCATAATCCTTACCCAAGATGAAGTGAGTACTTGCAGAGTATTGTGGCCTGCCTGTGTAATTTGTGTCACTTTTTCCTAAAGATTCATATTCTGGAAGAGGTTTTCCCAGTGCTCTTGATGACATGATAGTGCTGCTTATCATACACCATTTAACTTTTCTAAGTTTCATTTGCTGAATATCTATCTTGACGATAGAATCAGAGGGATAAGGATATATATCAAACTCTATCACTTGGAAACTTGGACTTTTTGGCAAGTCTGAGCCTCAGTTTTCTTATCTGAACAATGGGGATAATAATTTTGGTCCCACACAATTGGGTAAGTTTAAGTAAAAAAACTTATATAAGAATTTCTGGCATAGTGTAGATGCTGACAAATGTGAATATTCTTCCTTCTTTACAAAGTACTTATTTCAGGGCTGGATTTGTCTGTGATAAATAAGGTCTTCTCCTCATGACCACTGTGGCATTTATGGAGCTGTCTTGTGTGACTGCTTTCCTGACACTGAGCAAGTTTACACGTGCACAAACAGACACATACACAATGGGCTTATCACAACAACTTTCTGAAGCAGTTGCTGTTTCCTTTCTTTTTTATTGTAGCAACCACCTCACCACAACATAACATTTACCCTGTCAATAATTTCCAAGTGTACAATACAGTATTATCAGCTACATGCACTTTTTGTTGTGCAACAGATCCCCAGAACAAACCAATCTCCCCACTGACCTTCCCGCATAACTAAAACTCTACACTCACTAAGTAACTCCCTACTGCCTCCACCAGCCTCTGGCAACCACCGTTCTACGTGAGTTTGACTACTTTAGATGCCTCCTATAAGTAGAATCATACAGCATTTGACTTTTTGTGGCTGGCTTATTTCAATTAATGTAATATCCTCAAGGTTCATCTGTGTTGTAGCATGTGACAGGATTTCCTTCTTTGTTTTTAATTTAAAAAGTTTTTTGGCTGGGGTGTGGTGGCTCATGCCTGTAATCCCAGCACTTTGGGAGGCTGAGGTGGGAGGATCCCTTGAGACCAGGAGTTCATGACCAGTCTGGGCAACATGGCAAAATCTCATCTTTACACAAACGCAAAAATTAGCCAGGTTTGGTGATGTGCGCCTGTAGTCCCAGCTACTTGGGAGGCTGAGATGGGAGAATTGCTTGAGCCCAGGAGGATGAGGCTGCAGTAAGCTGAGATTATACCACTGCACTCCAGCCTGAGTGACAGAGTGAGACCCTGTCTCGAAAAAAGTTTTTTTTTTTTAATTGACAGATAAAATTGTATGTATTTGTCATGTACAGTGTGATGTTTTGAAGTATATATACACTGCGATATGGTTAAATGTAGCTAATTAACAAATGCATTACCTCACATGGTTATCATTTTTGTGGTGAGAACATTTAACATCCATTCTCTTTGAATTTTTCAGGAATATAATAGATCATTATTAACTATAGTCACCATGGGCCGGGTGCGGTGGCTCATGCCTGTAATCCCAGCACTGTGGGAGGCCGAGGCGGGTGGATCACGAGGTCAAGAGATCGAGACCATCCTGGTCAACATGGTGAAACCCCGTCTCTACTAAAAATACAAAAAATTAGCTGGGCATGGTGGTGTGTGCCTGTAATCCCAGTTACTCAGGAGGCTGAGGCAGGAGAATTGCCTGAACCCAGGAGGTGGAGGTTGTGGTGAGCCGAGATCGCGCCATTGCACTCCAGCCTGGGTAATAAGAGCGAAACTCCGTCTCAAAAAAAAAAAAAAAAAAAAAAAACTATAGTCACCATGCTGTACAATGGATCTCTTGACTTACTCCTTCTATCTAGCTGTAATAATATATCCTTTAACCAATATCTCCTCATCTCTGCCCTACCTCCAACTACCCCAGCACCTGGTAACCAGCATTCTACTCTTTATTTCTATGAGACCAACTTTTTTAGCTTCCACATATGAATGAGAACATGCAGTATTTGTTTTTCTGTGCCTGGCTTATTTCGCTTGACATAATGCTCCCTAGGTTTATCCATGTTGTCTCAAATGACAGGAATTCCTCCTTTTTACGGCTGAGTAGTATTCTATTGTGTATATATACCACATTTTGTTTATCCATTCATCCATTAATGGACACTTAGGTTGATTCCATATCTTGGCTATTGTGAATAGTGCTGCAGTAAGCATGCGAGTGCAGGTATCTCTTCGATATACTGACTTGATTTCCTTTGGATATATTCCTAGTAGCAGGATTTATAAATCATATGGCAGTTCTATTTTTAATATTTTAAGGAGCCTCCAAATTGTTTCCCATAATGGCTGTACTAGTTTACATTTCCACTAACTGTGTTCTTTTTCATCTACATCCTTGCCAACATGTCTTTTGTGTTTTCTTTTTTTTGATAATAGCAATTATGACAGAAGTGAGGTGATATGTCACATTGGTTATGATTTGCATTTCTATGATGATTAGTGATGTTAGTATTTTTTATATATCTGTTGGTTCTATACATCTGTTTGTTTTCATACATCTATTGGTTTTCTTCTGGTTTTCATCTGTATGTTTTCTTCTGGTCATTTCATAGTTTTGGGTCTTACATTTCAATCTTTAATGGATTTTGAGTTGATTTTTGTGTATGGTGAGGGATAAGAGTCTTTTTACCCTGTTGCCTTCTTACTCCCTTGATTGTTACCTTTGCTGCACCAAAGTTTTTAGCTTGATAATTGTTCCATTTGTTTTTCTTTTATTGCATGTGATGTTGGTTTCATATTATTTCTTATTTTTTAAAACCAATGGTAAAATGCTGGAGCTCAAAGATGTTAAGTAAGGTTCCCAAGGTCACTCAGAAATTGGCAAAGCCAGAATCCAGATCCAGACCTAACTTCAAATCCTATACTAAAGAGTGAAGTCAGGTGACATGAGGACCTGGAAATAAACACTGGAAATAATATTTCACCTTTGTGTCCTGGAAACGGCATCTGTCTTTTCTGTGTTCTGTCCTCGTTCAAGGCCACCATTCACCCGGGTCAGGGAAACAGGGTCTAGCAACTTCTTAGACATTTTCAAACCCTGTCCTAATTTGCCTAGGTGACAAATCAACAGTAACTCTGGAATTCTGAATTTCAGAATTCAGCCTCAAACAAGTAACTCATTTTCAATGACCTTATTTCCCTTTCAGGAGGCTTTGGAATGGGAAGCAAGTCAGCTGCCACCAGCCCAACCGGATCCTCGCATGGTACTCCCACCCATCAAAACAAACCCCAGACTCTGGATCCTTTTGCTGACCTTGGGACGCTAGGTACAAACTCAGAAGATCGAGATACAAATAACATTTACTTATAGCTCCAAAGCCTCAAATCTCAGTCTTTGGTGTTATAGCAAGCTGGTATTGTCACCTGGAACCTCAAATAGTGTGTATTCTTAAGCTATTCCTTTTTTAAAAAGGAAAATGGGGATCAGATATGGGGTTAGAAATCATCTTTATTGATTCATTTCACCTGTGCCTAATTCTAGATGTGTAGCATGAATAAAGTTAGAGCTTTCAGGGGCCCATAGCTACAGAGTTTGGCTGCACAAAGGTAATGTATATGGAGATGGCATGAGATAGGGCTGCTGAGATGGATTTGCGCCATGTGATGCCACCATTGCACAATGCTTATTGTGATGCTGTCATGTTACCTGTGAGAGCTTCACACCCTTCCTCTTCTCTCCATTAACTGTGGTGCTCTTCGGTCAGTTTGTAAAATTCTATACAGAAAATAGACTCAAGTATCATATTTCCAGAATATTTTCACCATATGCTAATAGTTGTTAAAGGATAAGTGTTCTGGGAGCAAGTGAGTTTGGGAAACACTGGTTTCAATGGATTTTTATTACCACTAAGAGGGATACAGTATCCAGGGTTCTCAAACTGATTTCACCAAGGAGCCTGTTTTGAAGGAGGGATTCATTGGACTGCTGCTGTGTTCTGAAACCTTTTCTTCTTCCTTTTTCCTTCCTCCTCTAGGACAGTGCCGATTTGTTAAATAAGGATGGGGAAGCCCTGACACAAAGGTTTATCTTGACCATATTGATAGTTTATGATCTCAGAAAGCCCTCCTGAGGCATTTAGAGCCAGATTGAGGGAATGTGAGCCTGGCTACCACTGTTGCCTTACACTTGTGTCAGCATCTTCATCTTCCATGCTGTACTATTTAGATGTTTTTCGCTTTTAAGAACTCTCAGAATTATTTTATGCAGTCATTTTCTTCTCCACCTTTCTTTGTATCTTACTGAAAATTTCAAGTTTTAAAAGTAATAACATCAGATGAAATTTTACTTGAATCTCATTTATCGTTTATTTTGAATGCATTTATTCATCTAACAAATACTTATGAAAGTGCCTTCTTGGTGCTAGGACTGTTTCAGTAAAAAAAACACAAAACACGAAAAACAAAAACAAAACAAAACTTCTGCCTTAATAAAACTTACATTATAGAAGGGGAAACAAATAATAAATTAACAAATATATAACATAATGTCAAATGATGAAAATGATAAAAGTAACAGTTAATAGTTACTGGGGCCCTATGTGCCAGACACTACTTGAAGTGCTTTACATGTAACATTTCATTTAATCTTCGTCATAATCTTTTGAAGTAGTTACTGTTATAATCCTCGTTTTACAGATGAGGAAACAGGGACACAAAAGGTTAAGTAACATGCACAAATCACAAACTTTCAATACCAAGAAGTCTAGCTCTGGAGCTCGCACTCATAAAAAGTTTAGAGGTTGATGAAGCTGAGTGTGGGAAGGGGTATCAGTTCAGTTTATCCAGTCAGTGGTTTTCTACCCTTGAGCATTAATTCCCTCATTTCACAGGTATTTTTGAGTACTTACTGCACAGTAGGCATTCGGGATGTAATAAAGAATCAAGGCAGATGACATTCCTGCTCTTTGAAACTTACCCTACAGTGGGAGAAAGAAACTTTAATCAAAGTAAAATATCCACTACTGTAGGGGCTATCCAAGATGGAGCATTTTTTAAAAAGCTCCCCAGGTAATTTTAATGCACAATCAAGGTTGAGAACCACTGCTTTAGCTTTTAATGAGGACAGCAGTGGTCTCTGGATTTAGCTGCCACTTTGTATTTCTGTCTGTTCTCTGCTTCAATAGCATTAACAATTAGAATTGCTGAGCATAGGGAGAAAATATTCTAGAAGGGTAGACATCAGAGAGTCCTGCAGTGTTGATGAGTCCCATGAGTGTGGGATCAGCGCCTGCTTTTTCACCACTGTATCTGCAGCCTGGTATCTAGAGGATGCTTAATAGTGTTTCCTAAATGAATGAGTAACTGACAGTGTGGTAGGCATGTGACAAGTTTTTCATCATTCTTTAGGCTTTTCCATATTTACCAAATTTTAAAATAAAAAACATATATGTTCAGAACAAAGTAAGCTCCTTAAATATAAAATAAAACCCCAGTATAGAATGAATACTAAGTCTTAGGTTCAGAACAAAGTAAGCTCCTTAAATATAAAATAAAACCCCAGTATAGAATGAATACTAAGTCTTAAGTGTATGTTCCTGTGCTATTGGCAGGAGGGCTCTGGGACATATGAAGAGGGACTTCATGCTGCTAGTTATGGAATGAGTAGGGCAATGTCAAGCTTGAAGACAAGTCCTGTCATTATATTTTCCTATTGCCAAGTATTTATTGAGCCCTGAAGATGTATCAGACATGTGCTTGGCATATGAGCCTACATTATTTTATAATATATAATGTCTCTTTGTTTGCTTAATTTAGGGGTTGTGAAATACTTTCATGTAGTTGTGTCTTTCCAGTATATCTGTGATATAGACATAGTTTTGATTAAACAGATGAAGAAACTGAGGCTCAAAGGGGTGGGATTTTTTTTTTAACCCAGCTTTAGAAGATCAAAGATTCTCTATATCCTGTTTTCAGCTATATTCTTAGTGCCCAGCATAGTACATCATACATAGTAATACTCGCCAAATAGTGGTGAATTAGTGTACATATGAATGAATGAATGCAAGAATGAATGATAGAGCTGAACCTCGAACTCAGGTTGATGCTAAATCCAGTGATAATGATATATTTCCAGTAGGGAAGGAAACTGGAGCCCCAGGATCAGAATAGGGAAAATATAGAAAGGAGAGATAGTAAGGGATGAGTTATAGGGAAAGGCTCAGCAATTAGGAGAGGAATTAAGGATTACTGAGTGCAGTAAAAGAACATGACATTTGGAGGTAGGATGTACATGGTGTAATCCCAGCTACATTAGTTAGCTGTGTGATCATGAACATATCAGGAAACCTCTTTGAGCTTTAATTTCCTTATCTTTAAAGTAGGGCCAGTGTTACTACTTACTTTTAAGAGTGTTGTATAGATCAGAGAGCAATAATGTACATAAACACATTTTGTTAACTCTAAAGAACTATATAAATATTAGTTATTTTATTATTGTTACTTTAGACTTACTGCATGAAAGGGTCTTTGGAGATCAGCACATTTCAGTTTCCCATTTTACCTCTTTAAATGCAAGCCACAGCTGGTTTTCATATTTTGGACATAGCCCCGCTTGTATGCAGTGAGTGCTTAAAAGTTTTGGAGATTATGGAATCAAGATTCTACTTAAATTCCTGGCATGAAATACCATCATTTTTAAAGATTGAATAAGATCCTTTGTCCTATTTAAAGTTTTCAAAATGTTGGCTGTTTTTGCTCCCCTTCAATGAAGTACAAGTAGTATGAAATTAAAACCTACTTGTGAAATTTCAAAAATCTTTATTTACTCTTGGGCATTTACCGTGCTTATACTTAGAACAAAAACATGATTAATCCTAATAATTGAAGTTTAAGTAACACCTTAATGAATGGACTTACTCTGTTTCATTCCCTATTCTTGTCATTTGGTAGTTTTAAAAAATTTTTATTCTAGTGAAGAAACAGAATCTGCTTAGAAGATGGGAGGGTGGGGAAAGATGGCACAGTGGGAAAAGCCAGGGTTTTTTTGACTTGGAGGCAAAGATCCAGAATCAAGTCTCGGTTTAGCCACTTGCTGTGTGCCTTTGAGAAAATCATTTAACTGCTCTGACCTGCAGTTTGGTCATCTGTAGGAAAAATGAGGCCATTAAAACATACTTAAAAATGTCATTGTGGGGATTAAGGAAATAATATGTATGCCTGCAATTCCTTTATCTATGTTAGGAAGATTACTTATGCTATCAATTAAGGGAATGGCCATTAAAGCCACTGCAAACAATATCTTAAGACTCAAGAGTTAGAGGCCACTTTCACCTTCTTTATCCATTTTTATTTCTTTAGGTAGTTCTTCATTTGCCAGCAAACCCACCACACCAACTGGATTGGGTGGAGGATTCCCACCTCTCAGCTCACCACAGAAGGCATCTCCCCAGCCTATGGGTGGGGGGTGGCAGCAAGGAGGTGCCTACAACTGGCAGCAGCCACAGCCTAAGCCTCAGCCCAGCATGCCCCACTCCTCTCCCCAGAACCGACCCAACTACAACGTGAGCTTCTCAGCCATGCCTGGGAGCCAGAACGAACGTGGGAAAGGATCAAGTAATTTGGGTAAGGATGATGGTATGGGCCCTAGCTACAGGGCAGCCTGTTTGTGTTGTCATACTGCCTCAGTGTGTCTGTCTGAAGGTAACAGTAGTTTCAATTTGGTAGTTTCTGAGGCAGTCTTATAGTTGTAGAAACACAATCTGATCCCTATCCCCAGTGCTGTATCTGGAGCCTCCTGGGTTGACTATGCTCCTAAATTTTATACCATTTTGTGACTGTGGGCTCACTTGTCTATTTCTCTCCAGACTGGAACCAGATGGAGGGCAGGGACTGTGTCTTAGTTGCCATGGGATCATTAGCACCTAGCATAACCTAGCATACATAGAGTAGGCACTAAATGAATGTTGAAGGGATGTGAGTGGAGAGGTGGATGGATCTTAAAGCTGTTATTCCTTTGGAAATGGAAAGAAGTTGGGGAATCTTTCAAGAACATCGGTCATATTCATCCTTGGGTCTCAGTTGGAGGACTGTTTGTGTCTTGGACACTTGGTCTTTCTTAAGCTCTGTTTGGTGGATTCCTGAAATCAGTGGGGTACCTATGATGGTGCCAACACCTGAGGCTGGAGGATAGTCTGGATAGGATTTTGACAATGAGTGAAAAATAGTATTTTTGCATAGGAAGGATAGTTAGATTTGAGTTTATTAAAAGCCTGTTTTGGTACATTTTATACTTCAGCTGATTTTGTCAGACCCTGCAATGAAGTACATAGAAACACGATGAGGGAACAGGCCTTTCTCTCTGTGGAACAGGAAAGGCAATTCTTCTGTTCTTCCTAGTAGCTGTAGCTAACATTTGTTAAGTGCTTGCTGTATGTCAGGTGCTATCCTAAGCATTTTTTATGTACAATCATCCCCCTTTATTTGCAGTTTTATCTTTGGAGTTTCAGTTACCTGAGGTCAACTGCAGTCTGAAAATGTTAAGTGGAAAATTCCAGGAATAAGCAATTCATACATTTTAAATTGTGCACCACTATGAGTAGCGTGATGAAACCTTGCACCATCTTACTCCATCCTGCCTAGGACGTGAATCATCCCTCTGTCCAGCACATCTATGTTGTGTTCTCTGCCCACCATTAGTCACTTAGTAGCCATCTTGGTTATCAGATACAAAAAATAGTACTGTTTATATACGGTCTGGTACCATCTGTGGTTTTAGGTATCCACTGGGGGTCTTGGAACATATCCCCTGTGACTAAGTAGGGGAACTCCTGTATTATTTCTTATAATCTTCCAAACCAACCACATATTATAGGTGGGAAACCTGAGACACAGATCGATGAAGTAATTTCCTAAGTTTATGCAGCTTCTAAGCGACAGAGCCAGGATTTGAACCCTGGCAATCTGGCTCCAGAACCCCTGCTCTTTACTGCTATACTCTACTGGTTAGAACACAGGTGCTTCTTACAACACCAACATGTTAGGAATTCTGTTGTTGGGGATAGGTAACATCATGTTTGTTTTTGACTAGCAGGGATATTTCCTGGACAATTCCATAGAGTCATGTCACTTTCCCTCCATTTTTGAGTAGACAGATGTGGGGCGAGTGACTTCAGTCAGCAAATACTTATGGAGCATCTTCAGTGTAGAAAACATTGAGGATGCAGCAGTGAACAAGAAACAAAATCCCTAGTCTCATAGCACTTACATTTCAGTATGTGCAAGTGCAGGTGTGTATATTCCACACTATAGAGATAGCAAATGGATTTCAACTAAAAAACCAATTTTGGTTGATTGGAATTGACTGTATGGACTATTATTTTTGGTTCTATTTTGTTTTAACAAGCATTTAGATAGCCAGGCACTGTTCTAAGCAATTTAAATATTAACTAATTCATTTTCACAACAATTCTATAAGGTGAGTAATATTCCTAACACCATCCCCATTTTATGGATGAGGAAACTGAGGAATAGAGATAGTAAGTAACTTGCCTAGGTTACATCACTAATAAGTGGCAGAGTTGTAATTCAAACTGGGGAGTTGGGGTCCAAAGTCTTTGTTCCTAGCCACATGCTAGGCTGCCTCTGCAAACAAATTGAGAAGGATTGAGGCTACAAGACTTGGAGGGAAAGAGCACTGTGATCAGCTAAAATATCAACAGGATATGCACAGGGAAGTGGTAGCATGCATGAATTTCAAGTACGAAAACCCAGATATGAATTAGTTATAATCTGGAGGGATGAATATCCTCATATAAAGAGAAGGTACAGTGGAAATGGAATCAGATTTGGTTTCATGATCCAGCCTCCAGTTTTAACCTTGCCACATGTATGTTACATGATTCTGAACAGATTCATTTTCATCATCTGTAAAATGGGTGCAAGAGTCTCTTACCCTACTCACAGGGTAAGCAAGCATGAGGGTTAAGGGACTGAATGCACATTAAAAACACGTTGAAGACTCCAGATCCTGTGAGATAATGATATAGTATTATGTTTAAGAATGAAAACTATAATGATTTTCAAAAATTGTATTGCAGAAGGGAAACAAAAAGCAGCTGACTTTGAAGACCTACTCTCTGGTCAAGGTTTCAATGCTCACAAAGACAAAAAGGGGCCTCGGACAATAGCTGAGATGAGAAAGGAGGAAATGGCTAAGGAAATGGATCCTGAGAAATTAAAGGTAAATGCGGCCCCTAACGCAGCTTGATCATCCTATATGACAAAGTCATGTGAGAAAGTAATGTGGATGGAGCCATCGGCATGAGAATAACTTATTGTCTTAGTCCATTCAGGCTGCTGTAACAAAATACCATAAACTAGGTGGCTTATAAACAACAGGGTTTTTTTTTTTTTTTTTTTTTTTCCCTCATAGTTATGAAGCCTGGGAAGGCCAAGATCAAGGTGCCAGCCATTTTGGTGTCTGGTGAGGGCCCTCTTCCTGGTTTATGGATGATGGTCTTTTCCCTGTGTCCTCATAGGCAGAAGAAAAAAGAGGTCTTACTGGCCTCTTTCATGAGGGCACTAATCCCATTTGTAAGAAATCTGTCTCAGGAACTAATCACCTCCCAATAGGAAGCCCCAACCCCCTAATACCATCACCTCCGGAGTTAGAATTTCGATATAGGAATTTTGGGGGGACACATACATCTAGACCATAGCACCTATAGAAGGCATGGTGTTAGATTTCTGATGACCGCTCTATTGCATTTACTCTTTGCAGCTATGATTTGAGTACAGCTGTGCCCTTTAATAGACAACAGCATTGAGAAGGTTGCACATGGTGTTTAATTTCTTTAATAAAATAAATATTATTCCATAGTACAGTGGTACAGATTTCTTTTATTTGCCTGTTCAAATGAGCAGCGGCACTTTTTAAGAGGTGATTTTGTTATTCAGATGGCATTCACATTCTAAAGATGAGTCATTAGACTTTGCTGGTAAGAAGAATGCATTATTTATGTTTTCTCTCTTTCTTGAGAGCTTTTTTATTAAACTAGATTGACTGAAGCCCCCCAGGGTCTTTTCTCTACCAATAGAGAAATGTTTATGTACTGGAGACTTATCAATTCCTGTAACATTAAACCTGGAGGTTTGGAAGGTAGAGGAGGGAAAGGCTGAGGGAGATGTGGCTCCTGTCTTCCACATTGTCTCCCTCTACTTTTAAACAGAGCAGTTCTACTTTTATCTGTTTTTGATTCTGGAGGTCTAGGGACAATTTGATTTGAGGTTTTTCCTCAAACCAAATCAACATACTTTTTTCCTCAAATCAACATACTTCTTTAGTATGTTTCAGCATGGCTGCTTTTTTTTTTTAAGTTTGTAAATCAGTGAATCTAACTCCTTTGTTTCACAGCTAAATAAAAACTCACATAACTTCATAGCTGAAGATGTTGTATGGACAGGTGGATGCAGATTAGCTAGGAAACAGAGAGTGGTCATGTTGATGAATCGTATCAGGTCTGGAAGAGTCTGTAAAGATCAAGTGAATTGGAATGCTCTTCACAGATGGAGAGGTTGAATTCCTAAGTGACAAAATACTAAAAATGCTGACACTATAACAGAGTGAAAGAGGAGGATGTAATCTGTCTCTGTATTAAAGCATCTGCAAAACCAGTAGTTGAACGGCAAGTCAATCTTAACACAGTCTGAAAAAATATACCACTGTTCTGTATAATTTCCTGACAGATTTGTTGTCGATGTATATAATATACATCTACTATAACTTAGATTCTTCGATACATTTTTTTGGTACAATGTAGGGTCCTTCATTTGCATGTTTTTCACTCCACTCAATGTCATAGAGGCTTAATATTTCTTCCAAAAACTTTGTGCTTCATCTTGGTAACCTTTGTTTATTAGGCAGACTTGGACAGTTTCCTATAAAAGAAAGTTGCTTATTTTGTTTAAGCCATGTTTGATTATTTAATTGGTACAAGGTATGTAATTGTTTGGGAGGGTAGTTGTCATTAATGTGACTAAATCATTCATCCACCAACACACACTTAGCTGAACTCCTGTTAGGTACTCAATGCTGATACAGTTTTATGATCGCTCTGACTTAATCACCTTATTTGTTCAAACTGTGAATGTTCATAGTTCAAATAAATGACTAAATGGGTCAATTCATTTAACAAGCCTTTTTGAGCTCTGTTCTGTGCCAGGTACATTATTTAGTTCCAAGATACAGTGATATATAAGAAACAATATGGGGCCAGGTGTGGTGGCTCACACCTGTAATCTTAGCACTTTGGGAGGCCGAGGTGGGTGGATCCTGAGGTCAGGAGTTCGAAACCAGCCTGACCAACATGGTGAAACCCCGTCTGTACTAAAAATACAAAAATTAGCCAGTGTGGCGGCAAGCACCTTTAATACCAACTATTCAGGAGGCTGAGGCAGAAGAATTGCTTGAACCTGGGAGGTGGAGGTTGCAGTGAGCCGAGATCGTGCCACTGCCCCACTACAGCCTGGGCTACAGAGCAAGACTCCATCTCAAAAAAAAAAAAAAAGAAAAGAAAAGAAACAATACTTTTCCTCAAACAGCTCTGCCTAATGGCAGGGAAAGATAAACACACAATTACAATAAAGTGTGGCACATATTATGGTAGAAACATGTTTAAGGTAGAGTAGCTCAGAGAAGTTTGGCCCTTTTTTAAGGGTTACTTATTTAGTGCAGTATCCACCCTCCTGGAGTTTGTATTGAGTATAACTCTGGGGGTGGGGATGGAAGAGAAAGGAATTCAAATTGGCAAAGTCTAACAGTGTGAAATTCCTCAGCAGGCTTTTGAAGGATGATAGAGTTACCAGAAAGACAAGGTAGGAAGTTGAGGAGGAGAGGCATTCCAGGTGGAGGAAACAGCCTGGATTATACAGGTTGCCCTGTGTTTTGATGTTGCTGGAGCAGAAGGGCTTTCTAGAGTCCTAGTGGAAACCTTCCGAACTAGTAAGTAAGCATTCGAATTTCTTAATCCCCTTTGTGTTTACAGATTCTGGAATGGATTGAAGGCAAAGAAAGAAATATCAGAGCCCTTCTTTCCACAATGCATACTGTGCTGTGGGCTGGGGAGACCAAGTGGAAACCAGTTGGCATGGCAGACCTGGTAACACCAGAGCAGGTGAAGAAGGTGTACAGAAAGGCTGTCCTCGTGGTGCACCCAGATAAAGTGGGTATAACCTGCCCTGCTGTGTATCTTGTCAGGTCCTTGCTTCATTATCTTATGAGTGTGTGTCTTACTTTAAATGTGCTCATTGATTAGACCTATTTTTATTTTTATTTATTTATTTTTTTTTTTGGGATGGAGTTTCGCTGTTGTTACCCAGGCTGGAGTGCAATGGCGCGATCTCGGCTCACTGCAACCTCCGCCTCCTGGGTTCAGGCAATTCTCCTGCCTCAGCCTCCTGAGTCGCTGGGACGACAGGCACGCGCCACCATGCCCAGCTGATTTTTTGTATTTTTAGTAGAGACGGGGTTTCACCGTGTTGACCAGGATGGTCTTGATCTCTTGACCTCGTGATCCACCCGCCTCGGCCTCCCAAAGTGCTGGGATTACAGGCTTGAGCCACCGCGCCCGGCGATTAGACCTATTTTTAATAAAATTAAGTCTGTTGGCTAAAGTCAGATATTTAAACAAATAGTTACACTTTATGAAATGAGAAAGAATATATCAAACTATATATTACAGGAGCTTATTTAAAGAGGGTAAGATTTACCCAGTCTTTAATTTTTAGGGCTCAGAAGTAAATTGTGGCTGGGTGCGATAGCTCATGTCTGTAATCCCAGCACTTTGGCAGGCTGAGGTGGGCAAATTGCTTGAACCCTCAAGTTTGAGACCAACCTGGGCAACATGACAAAACCCTGACCCTACAAAAAAAAAAAATACAAAATTAGCTGGTGTGGTGGCACGAGCCTATAGTCCCAGCTACTCAGGAGGCTGAGGTAGGAGGATCACTTGAGTCTGTGAGATCAAGGCTGCAGTGAGCTGAGATCTCTCCAGTGCACTCCGGCCTAGGCAACAGAGTGAGACCCTGTCTTCAAAAAAAGAAAAGAAAAAAAGTAAATTGTGTCCTGACTTACAATCGTAAGGACAGGCTAAGAGCGGGACAGAAGACAACTCCTTTCCTTTGGAGATACAACAGTATGGTTAGCCAGGATGGCAGTGAAAAAACTTTAGAATGTAGTTGGTAAAATTTGTGAGAATTAATAAAATATTCAAAATGGAATTAAATTTGCCACTCTATTGATAATCACTATATTGTTATGTCAGTTTATGCTTTCATTAAAGTATATATACATCTAAGGACTCTACCTTGTCAGAAACTTCAACTCACTTATGACCCAAATGAAATCATCCTAATACATAGAAACATTCAGAAAGAAGTGAGTCATCTTGCTGTCACATAGACTATACTAGTCATGTGACACGAAGCTCTGATCAAAGTGCCACTTGGCAACGCAGGCTTGAATTTGATGCATTTGATTTTCATCTCTCCAAATTTTTTGTAACTAGTCTGAATAGAAGAATTAATGGGAAGTAATGTTAGTGCTTGAATTTTGATGAATCAAAAGAGAAGGCGAAACAAGAGCCTGGAAAAATCCACAAACTGTATGCCCCATTATAATTCTCAAAGAACTTTTTAGAAATGGGAAAATGGGAGTTAAAAACAGTCAATGGAGATGGGCTGTCATGAACCTTTGACATTTGACAGATACTTCTGGAGAACAGAAATTCATCTTTTGCTGCCCGATAAGCTCTCCGTTGTCTGCTCCTTGACTAAATTACTACTACCCTTGGGCATTTCCAGGGGGAGGGCATTACGGGGAGGTTATAATAATTCGGGTCACATATAATAGATTAGGCTGAAAAAGAGAAATGGCCAAATAGGAAAGCATTTCAATTACTTAGGACCCATATATTATTGGCAGTGAAAAATTGAATATCAATAAAATTTTGGTCTGTGGTATCTAATGTGTATTTTTATTTTTTCTACAGGCTACTGGGCAACCCTATGAACAATATGCAAAGATGATTTTCATGGAGCTCAATGATGCCTGGTCTGAATTTGAAAACCAAGGCCAAAAGCCCTTATATTAATTTATGAGCTTTTCCATCTCTGCTGCAGACCTTTGCTAATGCTTAGTGTGTGTTACAATTCTGAGGTTTTCGCAGATGAACCAAAACTCCAGTAACATGTTTTCAGTACTAAACCGTTAAATTACTCATGAATTAATTTATCATTGATAAGGAATGGGGATGTTTGGTTTCTCAAAGTCCCCGACATAAAAGATCCAACGCATGAGAGGAACTTCTAGTCAGATGACCTTGCAGAACCACATTCCACCCTGCCCTTTGGGGAGCCTACTCAGCATCCTGCCTGGGGAAATGGAAAATAGAGGCCACCGCCCATGAAGGCATAACACCCATCACATTGTCTGAGAATAGGATTAATGAGCCAAAGTTATGATAATAGAGTTATGTGATGGTTTAAAATAATGGTTTCTAGATTTTCTTGGAAGCATATAATTTGAGCAGTGACTTTTTGCAGACTCCAGGAACGAAATCACCAAGTTTTTTTTTTTTTTTTAAGTAAAAATTTACTAAGGCTTGTAGCATAATACTGTAAATGTCTTTTGGTCAAGAAGACTAACAAATATAAAGGAACTTCAGTTGTGGGGAGTGATAATAGTCCAGTGATTAAACTACAGTCCAGTGATTACCACCAACTTTCTGACTAATATAAAAATGAATGAAAATGCTGGCTAAAGAAAATAGGGACTCTGGGGCCGGGCGCGGTGGCTCAAGCCTGTAATCCCAGCACTTTGGGAGGCCGAGGCGGGTGGATCAC